AGTAGTGGTAGGGAAAAGCTTGTTCAGATTCATAGCTGGCATAAGCAGATGCTACTGCATTGCCTTCAGTGGGCTGTGTGTTTATGCCAGGGATGAATTTGCCTCTCTGCCTGCAGTCTCTGTGAAAAACACATGCTGGTGTTCATCACATTTTGCTTTTTTTTCTTCTTATCCATAAAGCTAAGCCTCATAAGCCATTAAGCTGGAATATTTCTCCCTTGGGAACACCCCCACACCCCCCCTGTAGTTTGGGAATAGTACCACAAATTGACACTAGCTTTAGGAGGAATTTGTCTACTAAAGTTGTAAGTAAGTAATGTAGAAATTCTCAGACCTCAAACAATACAGGCTGATATGGTTTGGGATCTTGTCCTGCATTCAAGTTAAATCCATATGGGTCTGAAAAATGGGCAAGAATTCCTGTAATGGGCAACAACATGCAGCTAATGAGTTACCAGGTCATGATTTCTGGGAGTTTGTATCTTTCATGTACTTATAATCTCTCTATAATATCTGTGGGTTATCTCTTTGTCACTATTAATGTCCAGACCTATTTTGAACCTTACTAACCACATCATTCTGTCATGGAGTGACAGTGAGTTCTTCCTGCTCAGTATGTTATATAAAAATAGAATTTTTAATTTTACTTAAATACATTGCCATTTAATGTCACCAGTTTCCTTTGCTCTGGAGTTACGAGCAAATCCTTCAAAAGGCTAGGCAAGAATTATTTTCTCTGCAGGAATGTCAAATATCTTCATAAAAATTGGAAAGGGGCGCTTGCAAGCCCAAGGAAGAGTAAGGGAGTCAACTCCTGCACTGACCAAGGTTGACAGGGCTCAGATCTGCTATAGGAGGAGGGTTTTGCTAAGCTGCAATAATTGTTAGTGCCATTTTATTTTTTTAGAGCATTTAAGCTTTACATTAGTGCTGCATTATCTGCCTCTGATTTCCAAGATGAATGTGTTTTAAACCCTCAAACGAATACCCATTTGCACAAACTCCAGATACTGGTTTATATAGCTCACTATTCAAAAATTACTCCAGTTGCTAGGCAACAGGGGTGGTGATAATTCATGGTAATGCTGTTTTGGAAATAATCATTTTTATACATTTTAATGACTATGAGAATGTAAGAAAACTGTTTAGAAAAGTGCAAAGCTGTATGAATTTCTCTTTCAGAAATTGTTGCTTGTTTTATTTAATAGGCTTCTCTCTTAATGTGCTATCCCAATGTGCTAGTGTTTCTGGAGGCATCTTATACTTTGAACTACATGCTTATGCTTATCCGAGAAGGGAGTCTTGTCCATAAAAAAGATGGGTGTGAGTCAAAAGCATGAATTTTATTCTTGGCTCTTCTGCTTCTCTGTCATATGGTTGCAGTTCCTCCCAGATTTTACGTGCTGGAATTGTTTTTTTCTAATCCTATCTGTAGAAAATACAATGATATTACATGACTGGTGCAAGGCAGCACAAGAGACTTAGTGGCAGAGCCACCATGTTTTAAGATCTAATCTGGTGCTTAAACCGTGGGCTAATCCATTCTTTCTTTCTGCGTGACCTTTGGAGAATAATTTATTTCTGTATTTATTTATTTATTCCCATTTATAAAACTGAGCTAGAAAAAATTCAAGTAGGACTTTGTAAAGGGCATTCAGACTTGGCAAAAAGCACTACTTAAATTTTAACTGTTGCTAGGACTCTGTTAGCTAATTTTTTGGTTTTTTTTTTAAAGTTTAGGACTTACATAGATGATCCTAATGGGATGCAAAAATCTGGGTTTTTTTTTTTTTTGTCAAGGGTAGACATTTGTTGCTTTTAAGTGAAGAGGAGAAAAGAGAAAGTGTTGTATTATAATATTGTGGTATAAAAGATGAGCCTAAAGACTATACTGTGTATCAGATATTTTCTTTACATTGTTTGTTAATTATTGGAGTAAAAATGAAAATGAGGTTTGGATGGACCCAGTAATACAGATTCTTTTCTTGGTTAAATGGGTGTGTCTCTCTGCAGTTGTTTCATCTGTGTAAAAAAACTGTGTGTGAAGAGTATCCCAGGTATCTTTTGTTTATATGTCTTGCCTTTGCATTTATAGCATGAGTTAGATTATTTTTCTCAGAAGAAATGTCAGTGAAAACTTTTCAGGAAGGGATAAGGAAGGCTAAAAACCAGTTCAGAATAAATTGTTGTACAAATAACTAGTATTAGTACTGGAGATTTTATCCTTATTTACGAGCTCGTACTAAGTCTTAGTTTTGTGGGATTCACACAACCATATCTGCTTACCAGGCCTAAGAATTTATGCCAAAATTGAACTATATGCCCAAATGAGCAATCTATTTAATGGTTACTTCATCAGCACCAAAACCTAAAATAATTTATTATTTTAACTGAGATATTTCAATCACTTCTGCTTTCCACTGCTGCATTTACTGTCTTCTGTTTCTTGCTTTAGCTTCTCCCGAACGAGAACATGGTACAAAAACCACAGAAAAGCCTCAGAAAATATGTGGTGCTGCCTTTGGAATCTCCAATCTTTCTGCATTAATTTAATATTGAATATATTAGAAGTGGATGAAGAACTGTTT